ATGACAGTAGATGTGATGGTGGTGGTTGTGATGACAGCTGATGTGATGGTGGTGGTTGTGATGACAGTAGATGTGATGGTGGTGGTTGTGATGACAGTAGATGTGATGGTGGTGGTTGTGATGACAGCTGATGTGATGGTGGTGGTTGTGATGACAGTAGATGTGATGGTAGTGATGACAGCTGATGTGATGGTGGTGGTTGTGATGACAGCTAATGTGATGGTGGTAGTTGTGATGACAGTGGATGTGATGGTTGTGATGACAATGGATGTGATGGTGGTGGTTTTGATGAGAGTGGATGTGGTGGTGGTTGTAATGACAGCTAATGTGATGGTGGTGGTTGTGATGACAGTGGATGCGATGACAGTGGATGTGATGGTGGTAGTTGTGATGATAGTGGTGGTTGTGATGACAGCTAATGTGATGGTGGTGGTTGTGATGACAGTGGATGTGATGGTGGTGGTTGTGCTAATAGTGGTGGTGGTTGTGATGACTGTGGTGGTGGGTGGTATTGATGATAGTGGTGGTGAGGATATTACTGGCAACAATGATGGTGGTGATGGTAATGATGGTGGTGGTAATGACAATGTAGTAGTAGTGATTGTTTTGTCACATGGTTAAGTAATAGTGGTGACATTGATCATGGTAATGACAGAAATATTTTTTTTTTAAATTGCTTAATATAAACAAAACAGTTAATACTATTTACTGTTAATATTTGAAAGAATTCATCCATTCTCATAAAAATCTCATCCAATCAATCATTGGAATCATTGCAAATTAATTATTTTATATATTTATACCTCAACTGGCTGCCCATCAGGAAATTTCACATCAATAACTGAACAGCCAGATTTAAATTCCACCGAAGGATTGCCAACACGTAATGATATAGCTTTCTTTACGGTGCATGTTATATACCTGTCACTGTTTGAATCTGCCATATTTATGTGTCACAATTGCCCGTTTTAATACGACTACTTTAACGCCTTTAATGCCATTTACGTAGCACCACAAGGAAAAACTGGACTACGAAAGCCTTATTCTAAACACAATTCAACAAAAAATGTCATTTATACATTTGAAAGTTTCAAAACTTTGAAAATTATTTGAATTCCATTTATTAATAATAAGTTTTCTACACTCATGGAGAACTCCGCTGTCCTTTAGAAACGTTTTTAAATGTGACATTTTTGTCGGCTGGTTTTTCGAACAAAGAAAAACAATTAAAATCTTTATTTTGTGAAACAATTTAAACAGTTATAAAGTCTCCTCATAAGTTTCTTTGTTCTTCAAATTCTGGTTTGTTCTTTCAATGGCGTTTCAGCCACTAAAATTTTGCGTGAATATTTAGCGAATATTTTTTCCAGATAAAAAAGACAGGTGGTTTCCTCTGGCCAGGTTGCCTAGCAACAAGCGAAAGTAAACATTTTAAAATAATTTTGTTGTACGAGGAAGGAAATTCAAGCATAGAAATACCTTCTTTTTGTGCGGAAAATCTAAAATAGAAGTGCTTTTTCTTTTTCAATGGATTCTTCTGGTTCAAGGGTAGGTTTAACCTGCAACATTTTGTTTAAAATGACGGCCGATTTTAGTGTGTGCCGTGAATTATTTTGCCATGATAATATTTTAATAGTGACTGATTTTGAATCATTTACTTTAAGATATTACTTACTGTAAAGATTTAAATCATGATATTAAAAAAGAAGAGTGCCAATCTGTCTATCATTTTGGAACTTAACTTGTGGAGTGTTCAAATAATGTCAAATCGCTTGCTAAAAATAAAATCTAAATGACCCAGCTGGCTTAAATAATGTCATAGCTCTGCGGTGAGGGGTCAGCCCGTTCAGGGACCCTAGTTTGTTGTATAAAGGGTAGTAGAATGTCGCTTTTCCAAATAAAAAATGGATATGATAAGGAACCCCCCCCCCCTCAAATTGCACACACTACCCCCTTAATAGCCAAGGCTAGGGAGGGTATGTGTGAACCCCCACAATGCAACATAATGGGTTAAGTGGCTAGGCACATTGGGAAGATGCTCTCCCCTTGATGGGTAACATTGTCTGGTGTTAAACAGAGTAAAATAATAAAGTAGGGTGCATTAGGACACAATGCAACTTAACGAGTTAAAAATAAATAAGCAACCAATCATGGTTAAGTAACATGACTATATATTTCTTTTTCTAGTCTGCTGAACTCCAAGCAACAAAACCTGGTAATGGAGCAAGAACTTCCAATTACTACAGCACTCAAAATATTCCTCAACGTTTTGACAATCCTGGTATGTAAAATTGATTCTTTCCTTTTTTTCAGTATCCTTCTGCAATGTTCAAAGCTCGGCTGGTGAGAATGCACAAGCAGTGAATAATTTGGGCAATCCTGTGTTTTCTTGCCTGAGAAACATAAATAGTGTAGGCACGGCTCAGACTTCCACATTAACAGCAAGCGAAGGTGTGTTGGTTTTTGATATTTTGTAGAATTGGAACAGTGGAAACATTAGGACAGTCATATAAATTTTGATTTTCATTCATTTTTCATTGATTTTTTTAGATGTATTCCAAGGTTATAATGCGAAGACACAACATCCAATGTACATGACGAGTGCCATGGAGTATGGGTAGGTAAACAGCCTGACTGGCTACATGACCGACTGGCAGCCTGCCGCACACAAGAGAAACTTGCTGGGATAGCCACCTAGCCAACAGGCAAACATGGAAACAAGGCCCAGGGACGCCAGAACTGGGGGGCAGGAGGGGCAGCCGCCCCCACTGCCCTTTACCGGGAGGGGCAAAGGTGCCCTTTCAATTTAAAGGAATGCCTTGGCGAAATAGCGAATTGTCAGAAATGTTAGTGCAGTTCTTTTACGAATTTGCTTCAGAAAACGCAAGAAATGCAGTCATCGAGCTTCAAGAATAGCACAATTGCCTGGCGGAGAACCCCTTCACACCCCTATCATCCAATCAATAGAAAACATGATTAGGCAAAGAACTCAACACCCGATGTTTTGCAAACATCTCTTAGTATATATCAATTTAAAAGTGCCCTTTCACGAAAATCTGCCCCGCTTGCCTTCATATTGTTCCAGCGTCCCTGACAAGGCCATTGGGGCAAAAATACAATAAACAATAAAGTCCATCTTCTATAAACTGACAAATTGACGGCTGAGTGACTGTCTGCCCAAGAAAGTAGATTTTGAAATTTTATCATTATTTAATTGTTTCATATTTCTAGCTCGAGACAACCTACGGTTCACACAATGCCAACGATGTTTCATGCAAAGAATCAGAAATTCTCCGAACACCTCGGCACGTGTGGGATGTATAGAGATCATTCCCTCAATACCGCCACGGACAAGAGTGTTGTTTAATTCTTGTAAAAATAATAACAGATAGTGTACATAATGAAAATGCGAAATAAAATCAGGAAATAAATCTTGAATATTTGTGTTGAAACAATTCCTCGCATTGCTGAAAATTTAATGAACATTGACAAAGCAAACTTTGTGACCCCTTCTCCCAGAGGTGTAACCATGGATGGGGGACTGGGGGATGAGTACTACCTTTAAATCATTTGATAAATGTTGGGGGGGGGGGGGGCA